CATCCAAAAATGCTTGTCGAAAACTTTTTACATTTTTATCTTGCCATACTTTTGTTACAGTATATCCCTCGTTGACCCAAGTTTCGTCTAGATAATAAATATTCCTCCCTTCGTCACGGAATTTTCTAATTGATCTTAAGTAGGATCTTCGCCAACAAATAATTTCATCTTTATCGATAAGAACTGACTTCCTGTTCTGCTTTTCCCAGCAAAAATTCAACTCTCGTAAGACGGCCCATAATTTGCTTCTACTGATTTTTGGCAAATCGTTGTCCTCTGAAAGTTCACTTAAAATTTTGTTTAGCGTTGGTATTTCTTTTTAAAATAAAATGAGTGTACTAAACACAAGTCGAATTTTACTCTACTGCACTAGCACGTCTTCGTATATTCAGCTCTAAGACTGGATTGATCTGTCACAATACATTGGCTCCAGCCCTATGATGTATCCAGTAAAATATACTAATGTATACCCATTAACTGTTAGCATTAGTGTTACCCGATAGTTACCTGAAACGAAATATTAGCATGCCCATGGCCGGTTCTTATCTCGGGGTTTTATTACTCTCTTTCATTTCCAAACAGAGTATAGCTGCCAGATTAATTTATTTATTAACTAAATATATGCCTTTTAGTTACTTATACAAATATATATGATGAGATAGACATAGATTTAGTTGGCAATAAATTTCTTACATGATGAGAAAACCAGCTCTTAAAAATATTTGCATTTTAATATATGGGGGCTCCGCGAAAACACAAAATTAAACAGATTTTTAAAAAATCGCTAATGTAGTTTCTTCAACTTTTACCCCTACAAATATGATCTGATAGGCCTTAGTTTTTGTACAAAGAGATCCCAAAGTACACCTTTCTCCCCTCTTCATTTAAAAAAGATGGTCAAAATCGCTCTGTAAACAAATTTTTTTATGAGGGTGATCCGGTTTTAAATGGGTCGCACTGTATATAGAAATATATGTTTATGGGACTTGATAACGTGGAAAATCCTAACTTTTTTAATAGGGTTTCGTATACATATATTTTACTTAAAAATTTTCTTATCTTTCCAGAAATGGCACCAGCTTATAAACTTACATATTTTGATATGACCGCTCTTGGAGAACCCATCAGGTTCCTTCTGAGTTATGGAGGGATTGAATTTGAAGACAATCGTATTCAAAGAGCAAATTGGAGCGCCTTTAAACCGAGTACGTATTAATAAGTAAAATAAAAGACATTTCATGCATTCATTCATTCCTATGTAAATCTAACAAATTTGTGAATTTTTTAAACCTCCTCTTTCTAAAATGTTTTTTTGTAGAAATACGGAAACAACATGTTCAACAAAATTACCTAATTAAAAACGATCTTTGGCAGAAACTACCTTAATTTTTATTTATATACATTTACTTATACAGGTATGTAGGTAATATCCATCCATCAAACTGAAGCAATGTCGGAAGCTATAAACATTTGTCACCATTCTAGAGTAAACTTCATTATATAATCGCATTTTGTCCACTTCAGATCAACGTTTTTTTATACAGGGTGTTTTTAAATGAAGTAGTAAAAATGGCACCAGTGAATGTAGAGGCAAAAATAAGAGGATTGAAGTAAAAATACCTTATATGAAAGTTGCATCCCTGAGGAGATATACCCTCTTAAAGGAGGGGATTGAAATTCACATTTAAATTTTTTCTTTAACATGAGCAATGCTAGAGACACGAAACTTGGTATGAGCATCCTACTAATAAAGAGACAACTTTTCAATATCTGTTCGATTATTGGCGTATTTTATAAAGGAGTGAAACAGTCAACCCCATTGCAATACTTTATTAGAAATTTTTTATATAAGGCAAATTATTTATTTAAAAATATTTATTGGGAAGTCTGATTTATTGCGCAACTTTTTTTACCTCTTGTAATTTTTCGATAAAACCGATAGTTTTCTAGTAAAAAAATTAGATGCGTCATCGTTCACTAAAGAGGTAATTGCGAAAATTTGTAAAAAGTAGACGGATGTCATATCAAATAAATTGTTATTTACCATATTAATAAATTTACACTTTCTGTCAATAAGCTGGTAATTTAATAATAACATTAAGAATAATTTGCTATTAATTATTGAAAAATGTTTGATAACTTATGACTATGGGACATGTATTAGGTAAAATTATTTATCTCAAATAAAATTTAATACAAACGAAAAACAAGAAATGCAAAATTAAATTTAAAGAATGTTCTCGAAATAATTTCCATTTTGCTGCAAGCGTTACCTAATACGTCTGTTGAAATTATAACGCACTCGCACAAACAGTTCTCGGTTATTGCGAAGGTCATCTGCTGCCTGAAATATTCTTAAGCGTAGTTCTTCTAAGGAGGCAACAGGAGTGGCATAAACAATACTTTTTATGTGTCCCCACAAAAATAAATCCATAGGCGTCAGGTCAGGCGAACGTGCAGGCCAATAAACAGGTGCATCACGACCACGACGTGTGCATATACCACATCACCTGACGTGTAGCGAGATGTACATTGCCGTCCCTTTGAAAGTGGACGATTTATTTTTCGAATGTGATGTGGTCTACTTTTCTTATTATGGTGTTATGAAGTTTTTATATGTCAGCGTCATTAGTAATTTGCTTGGTAATTTAAAATGCCGCGTTTAACGGAATCTATAAACCAGAGAAAGTGAGAGCTATAACTTTTCTTCAGAATGGTTGGTCATTGCGGATGATCTGCATGTATGCAAGAACAGCATATTTAAACTCAAAGAAAAATGGAATGCTCACTAGAACTAGTGTGATAGCCACACATTAAATTTGATATAATGACAGCCCATTTGAACCTCACATTTTCAAGTCAGCTTCACAAAGGCCAATTATATACAATTTGCTTATAAGAGTCATCCACTTTCAAAACGCCGGCACTGTACATCCTCAAGTAATGTTGGAAGAATTTCGTTAAAAAATCTAAGATACTCGGCCGCTCCAAGCCTGTGTGGAAGAATAAAAGGACCTACTAGAGTATTTCCTACAATTCCCATCCGAACCTTTAAACTGAAATTATGTTGACATATTGAAACAAATATTTCATGAGTATTTTCTTCCGACCATGAATGAACATTATGAAGGTTTACTGCACCTACTCTAGGAAAATTTGCTTCATCGGTGAAAAGTATATTAATTAGGACATTTAAGTCATGCCTGGAAATATTAATGTACCATTAACAAAAATCCAAGCGGTGAAACGGGTATAAAAGATTTTCATGAGCTACCTTCCACACAAGACTGTGAGAAACTTGCAGTTGCCTGGACACCTGCCTTGTGCTTGTATAGTACAGTATAGCTTCCTCAGTTTCAACAGTTCGGACATTACGCCTTCTTCCGGCACCCTCACGATTGAACTGAATTTTACCAATTTCGCGAAGCCTTCTTTCCACCGAGGCCAATGTTTGTCTATGAGGAATCGGTTGAATTGGATATCTTTTGTGATATAATCTTACTGCAGCGTTACTATTTTTTCTGGATTCGAAAAACACTTGGAGCATGTCGACATATTCGTCATTGGTATAAATATTATTTGCCACAATTATTCTGATAATAAATTAATCAGTTGGTACTAATTATTGGTTGACAGAAAGTGTCAATTTATTAATATGATAAATAACAATTTATTTGTTATATTCGCCTACTTTATTTTTACAAATTTTCGCAATTACCCATTTAGTGAACGATGACTCATCTATTTTTTTTTACTATCTATCGATTTTATCGAAAAATTACAAGAGGTAAAAAAGTTCCGCAATAAATCAGTCTTCCCAATAAATATGTTTAAATAAATAATTTTCTTCATATAAAAAATTTCTAATAAAATATTGCAATGGGGTTGACTGTTTCACTCCTTTATAAAATACGCCAATGATCGAACAAATATTGAAAAGTTGTTTCTTTATTAGTAGGATGCTCATACTAAGTTTCGTGTCTCTGGCATTCCTCATGTTAAAGAAAAAAATTAAAATTAAGAGGGTATATTGCCTCAGAGGTGCAACTTAAGTTGCAACTGCATAAGGTATTTTTACTTCAATCCTCTTATTTTTGGCTCTATATTCAGTGGTACCATTTTTGCTACTTCATTTAAAAACACCCTGTATAACGTAAAATATGCAGAGCAATATTGTTCAAACAATTATAATTGTTTGAACAACATTCCGAACAGGCTCTTTCACTTATTGAAATAATATGCCCTTTTTCCTTAAGTTTAGTGAATCACTAAAAAAATAACATATGATTTCAGGTACCCCATTCGGACAATTGCCTTTTTTGGAACATAATGGAAAAATAGCCTGTCAAAGTATGGCCATTTGTAGATATTTGGCAAAACAAGTAAAACTGGTTGGTAAAGATGATTGGGAAGATTTGGAAATCGATGCAACAGTTGATACCATTACTGATTTACGTTTAAGTAAGTTACATTTTTATTTACTTCAGTTTCCTTTTTGTGTCTTTACAGACGAGCAGTTACTTCAAGAGGTTGTTCCTTGGGTGATCGTTAACTAAAAGCCTTAAAAATTACGACTACCGCCTAGAAAATATGAACATCATATCTGCTTCATTTAGTGATATCACAACCAGGGGTTTATTCATTCTCTAATTATACCTAAATGACAGAAGTCGACATTTCCGTGACATATGCCAATGGTTGATTAATTTCGACTATAATTTCTAAATAATATACCAATTAAACGATTTTCAATAATTTTATGAAGGGTGTCCCAAAATTATGGGGCAATACTTCTAATAGGTGTTCTATGTCGAAAAAGATTACTTTTTCTTTATATAAACGTGGGTCCAAAAATTCTTCCTAAGGAAGTTATAGCCACTTAAAGGGGCCCACTCTGATGATGATTTTTTCTAAATAACTCCGAAACCAGTTGAGATAAATTTATGAAATTTGGTAACTAACTTAACTCTTACATGCTCAATATTTTTTATCGTCGCAGGTTTTGAATAACAAACATGCGTTTGGCGTCATTTGCATTGACAGTTCAGTTATTTACTCTTTGCGAATTGTTATCAGTCGAAAATGCAATATTTTACGAATGTAGAGCTAGCAGATATTCATAATATTCATTTCCGGTCAGACGAAAATCCACGGGCAATACGGCGCACAAATTTTCAAAATAGATTTGCAATAAATGTGTGGACAGGAATTTTAAGAGACCAGTTATTTGGACCAATTCAGTTCCCCGTTTGTCTGAATGCAAAAGGATTCTCAAAATTTCTGCAAAATGATACACCGTTAAACGTACGCTTAACGTTACACTATCAACAAGATGGGGCCCCGCCTCACTTTACCCATAATGTCATAAATTGGTTAAACGATCATTTTCCTGGCAGATGGATAGGTAGAGGCGGTCCCATTCCATGGCCAGCTCGATCTGTAGACCTAAATCCTCTAAATTGCTTTATGTGGGTTAGAAAGAAGGTTGTAGTTTACGCTACAGAAATAAATCCTTTGGGAGAATTACAACAGAAGATTCATTTGGCTGCGTATCAAATCAGACAAAATAATTTTGAAGTTTTGAGATCTTCGCGGGCAATTCGACGTCATGCTGAAAAATGTATTCAGTAAAATGGAAATGGAAAACATTTGCTATAAAAATTGCTATTGAGATAAAGTGAAGTACTATTTAATAATTTCAATTTTTTTTTTTAATTTGTCAAATAATAATTTACTAAAAATAATAAATTTCTATGAAAATAACAATTCACAAAAAGTAAATAACTGAACAGCCAATGTAAATAACGTCAAACACATTTTTGTTATTGAAAACCTGTGACGATAAAAAATATTGACAATTTCGATTCCCAGTGATTAACACATGTAACATTATTTTTAAACGGATTTTACACAAAAATGGAACATTCTACCATTATGAACCAAGAGTACCTTTTTTAATAAAAAACCATGAAATTTCATATTTTTTCAGTCAAAAGTTAAAAAAGTCAACGTATACAAGTTATGGTAAATTTTACCCCCCTCTCCCCAGTGTTGGAACGTATGTGATGAAAATTTGTAAATTTCGTTTTAGTGGCGGACTAAGCACGTAAGAGTTAAGCTAGTTACCAAATTTTATAAATTTATCTCAACTGGTTTCGGAGTTATTTAGAAAAAAACATCATCAGAGTGGTCCCTTTAAGTGGCTATAACTTCCTTTGGAAGAATTTTTGGATCCACGTTTATATAAAGAAAAAGTAATCTTCTTCGACATAGGTTTCTGTAGAAATATTGCCCCCTAATTTCGGGACATCCTGTATACAGGATATTGCAAAATGTTGTTCAAAGAATTCTATTCTCTACATCCAACATCCAAATAAGAAAAAAATCCTATAAACGTAGGCCCGCAACTGCTTCGTTTTCGAAATGTTAAAAGAAATAAAAAAATATGTTTTTTGATTGATAATTTCTAAATTTTTCATTGGAAATTATTTAAATTTGGGTCATTTATTTCTCCATAGTGACAGCGCATGTTATTTTTCAGTTACAGTCACCAAAACAAAGTTTGTATTTAAAATTTCATAGTTTCAAAGTATTTAATATACCACAGAACTTTAGTTGCGTCATGGTACACATTTCACATCTATTTAACTTCATTGAATTTTTAATACGTAGGTAAATCCATGTTGTTTCATTTTATTGCTTTACCGAGTGATATGATTGATATAATATGTCATCGCTGAAATGACGAAAGATTGAGACGTTTATATTTAACTGGTAATAGTTACATCTGCTTCTTAATCAATAAAAGCTGGGAAGAGAAAAATGGAAAAATATCTATTATTTTATTATATTCCAGAACACGCTCAGTACGCTTTTGAAAGAGATGAAGAAGCTAAAAAAGAGAAAGAAAAATCTTTATTCAATGAAACTTTTCCCTTTTACTTAGGAAAACTAGATGCTCAAGCTAAGAAAAATAATGGTTACCTTGTTGGTGGTCGTGTAAGTATCCAATCAGGTAAACGTAGCAACTTTAGGTATCAATTAAATTTTATTATTAATTACATAAAACATCATTTGAAATTAATTTTTAGTGCTCCTGCCCAATTATAATTTTTTTTGGTTTTCAGTTGACTTGGGTTGATCTGGTCTTTACAGCTATATTGGATTTTTTAAATTTTATGGTAAAGAAAGACATAATATCGAGTTTCCCGAATTTACAGAAAGTTAAAGAAAATGTGGAGACAATACCCAACATCAAGGCTTGGTTGGGAAAAAGACCAAAAGATGCCCTATAATAATTTTTCTCTTTCTTGTATTTTCAAAGCTACGCATTAAATTTTGACTTGAAATGACCATACAACTGTTTTTTTTTTATAAGGTCTCCAATAAAACAGTAATCTACAATTATCATGTATTTGACTTTTATTAGATAATACTAAGGGGACCATTTTAAGAAAAAAAATTCACAAACATTCCAATCCATCATCATCACTACATAAAAAAAACTGAAAAACTGAAAATAACATGGACTCTACTTTCCATAGGGGCGCCATTGGTAGCGCAGTCAAGTCTTAGAACTAAAACCGATGTTTAATGAGATACATGTGACTTAGAGAGAAATTAATTCAAACTATATAAAAAACATCCAGTATTCTTCGATCTATCGCATCCTGTCTATAAAAATGTGCGTGTTAAAGTTTAAATAGATGCGACAGACCAAATTTATAAAATAAGGTATTTAAATTAACTTTCTAACTATATTACGTTACTTTCTAATTCGTTGATTAAGTTGTCGTTCTTAATTCAATAATACACTAAGTAGCAAAGCTTCTTCTTCCTGTATGTTGCATATTTTTATCCACTAGCTACTGTATTTATTACTATTGGTAACAAAATTCCGGTTTATATTTTATTGACCTCCGTAGTTGTGTGAAAGATATGAACAAAATTATTCAACCAAATACAAAGTATTTCGTGTTTTTCCAGTTTTTACATTACATTAATTAAATATAGAATTTAAACAAAACTGTATCATCCACATCAGATTTGAACTAGATCTAAATTGATAAATGTTGAGTTTAAACAATGAAAAATCTCTGTAAAAATGTATACCATATATTGTGAGCAAAACATTAGTTAATTAACCAAATTAACAAATTTTAAACTGTACTATATGACTATAAAAATTGTTCAAAATGTCCACCCTCGGCTCGAATGCAAGCATCACATCGGCGAATTAAATCCATCTTGAATTCTCTCAAATACCTAACTGCTGACGTAGTGGCTTCAACATGGTAGACAAGATGCTTCAAATGCCGCCATAAATAAAAGTCCAACGAATTTATGGCGGCATCCAGGGAACGCGGTGGACATGCTATTGGACTTTATTGGCCTATCCATTTATTCTGAAAATGACCATTTAACCAAACAGTCTCCCTTTACATGGTGGTGCACCATCATGCTCATACTACATATTTTGAACAATATTAAGCCATACGTCATCAATGAAATCAAAAAGGTTGTTTTCCAAGAAAGTTCTATACAGATCTTCATTTAAACGACCATTTAAAACATGTACATTGTGCATGCAGTAAATTATTGTTGAAAATGCTACCCCAAACGTTGACACTGAAATGTTGATGATGCTCAGATATGTTCATTATGATTATTATTTATGCCGCCTCTAGTAAAACACGCTTCATCAGACCACACGACAAAAGAAATGAATCTATCATTGTGTGCATGTTGTTGAAGTAACCTGCGACAAAATTCTAATCGCTGAGGAGCATCTCCAACATGTAACATGTAACGCTTGTACCCTTTAGCAATGAAACGTAGGTAATATTTATCTGTTCAAAATCTATCTGTTCACCATAGAAAATTCGATGATAAATGATGATTTCTTGCTATACGCCAAACACTAGTTGAAGAGTTGTCAATGACAGCATCTATAATATCTTCATCATTTTGGACATTCACATGGAAGTTTACGTAATGATGCACTAAAGACTGTGTGGGCAGGTTGAAGTTTGGGTATCTTCATCGCTTTTCTCGGGATGCTTGTCTTGCGTTCCCATTGGAATGCCCATATATAAAGACAATATCTGCATACTCTTCAATTATAAATAAATGCATCTTCTACTTAGCATTTTAACGCTAAGTGTCAAATGAATAAACAAAATGACACAAATAATAATTATTGTTATAGTAACTATCATTTTTATTTATTAGGCTACTTTGATTGAAATATGAAATTATATTTTTTAAATTGCTTGTAACTTCTAAACAAAAACAAATCGGATGTATATTCATATAAAAAAAATGTTTGAAATTAACTCAGCTGCCATCTGTCAAAGGTTGTCACAGAGCTTGTTGGACATCCTGTGGTCTTTGAGTTATACTTGTCGAACGAATTATAATGATTTAGTCCATGATCCATGGCCTGTTGAGATTTGTTTTAGAAGCATTTTTGTTGAAAACCCCTTTTCTTATCCAACTTAAATAATTTATAATGCAAAAAATGGTTTATACAGACTTAAAACTTAATTTATGAAGTTTCTCGTTCAATTTCAAATTCGATGAAATTTTGGAAATGTTTCCAGCTCATTATAACGTAAATAATAGACATGACCAAACATTTTCTCATTTGTCGCTCAGCAGTGCCATCAAATGGCTATTCTTTCAGCCCTAATAATTTCCAATAATTTTTAAATTCAAACAGAAGCGTCACATCATTGAAGTTTTAATTTTGTATAGAAAATTATTATGCTTTATAAATTAATGAAATATAATATACAGGGTTGTATGTAATAAGGCTACGTAGCCAGATTATTTATAAAACAATTGATTTATAAACTGTATCCGCATAGTTAGTTCAGAAGGCAGGTATATCGTGTAGATATACCCTACATAATATCTCCTATACACAAATCTACTCTATCATCATCATTCATTCAAATTGTCCGTCCTAAACAAAGGACCCCGCACAAACCTTATGGTAAACTCCGTTCGGTCAATTTTAATGAAATTTTGGGAATAGGTTGTTTTTGTTATGAGAAACACACCTGAACAGCCTGAATTTTTTTGTTGACAGAGATAAGGAGAGAGGAAAGCTCTCCAGAGAAAATATGCTGATATGTATGTACGTCATTCTTTGTGCAATGATTATACATATTTCTGTTTATTACATTTAAGTATGTTGTTCCAATTCAGGAAAATTTTGTTACCTAATTGAAAAGATTAGGATGACGACCATATACAATCAATTTTGTAGGTATTATCAGCACAATAACGACACCATTAAATTGGAAATGATGCATTCTATATGCAGTATGAGTTTTTGTTATAGTTCAAAAACTCATACTGCATGTAGAATGCATCATTTCCAATTTAATGGTGTCGTTATTGTGCTGGTAATACCTACAAAATTGGTTGTATATGGTCGTCGGCCTAATCTTTTCGATTAACAAAATTTTCCTGAATTGGAACAACATACTTAAATGTAATAAATAGAAATATGTATGATAATTGCACAAAGAATGACGTACATACATATCAGCATATTTTCTCTGGAGAGCTTTCCTCTCTCCTTATCTCTGTCAACAAAAAAATTCAGGCTTAGAGAATCATAATGTGAAATCAGTCATTTGTATATTGTCGTTGCTTAGAGGTAGTTGTGACTTTATTTTTCTACTAGTGCAAATCATTAAGGTAACGAAATAATTTTCTTTATGTTTCTAACACAAGTTGTGTGTTCTTCGTTTGTATTCAAACATAAATTTTCTTAGTAAATCTGTAGAGGGTGTATTTTAATGAAAGAACCCATATGGTACCTTCATAATCTTTTGGGACCAAAATATGGTAATTGAATGTTACAGGGTGTAAAGATAAAAAAGAAACATTACAAATATGCAATAACGACTTAATTAAATAAAGGTAAATATTTACTGAATTTGTACACAGCCCTATCAACCACTGGCGGATATACTAGAAGACCCCGTCACTAAGAACGTTAGAATTTCGACAAACCTGAAATTTTTAAATTCATACACAATTTCAAAGAAAAAACACTTTCTATATTTTATTCATAAAAGGAATATTTTCCCAGGTATTATTTTTCTTTTGTCTAAAATAAACTTACTTTACAGTTGAAGAAAAAGGAAATAACTAAAACTGTTTCACAAGTAACGCTTATAGTAATTTTATGTTACGAATATAATGTAATCGTTATGAATATAAAAATTGACGAAGAAATTTTAAATTTTCTAAGGGGTAGTATGGTAGTACTAATTTTTCGAACTGTTAATGATTCCGTTATAAATTTGAATTTGTAATTAATATTTCTAATAGGTACATTTTTCTTACGTGAAACGAACAGTTTGAGAATTGTTTTCGATTTATTCAACTGTGTGATAAGTTTATTTTAGATCCGGAAATGATTTGTTGTTCGAATAAAATCGACAAGACCTTTTTTTCCTTGAGATACCGTTACGAGTCAAATGAATTTTTAAAATAATAATCAATAATATCGAAATATTGTAGTTCTTCAGCCACTTGTCTTCCAATACCTCCGCTATTGGTTCATAAAATTGTATGGAAATGAATTTAGTTATGTTGCCACTCTATGTTTCTTTAATCTACGACAAACATCTGCCGAGATATTGGTTTATTTGTTCTATACCTGTGTATATATATTTTTTAAACTTTATGAACCTGAAGCTTGCAAATGAGGTATATTCTGCTCAATCACATATCATATTTTGGGCTCAAGATTATCAAGATCATAAGGTATCTCTGCTTTTTACTTCAATCTTACTTAAATGCTTCTTACTTAACTTAATCTAATCTGATAAAGCAAAAAAAAATAAAAGCATAGTAGCAATGGGTATAAGTAAAGATATTAATATTAAGTATGTATTACTCAAAAAAGATATCAGCGTTACTGAATAAAAATGTTCTTAATGAACATAGAAACACGTATGAATGAATAGACAGTGGTAACTAATCTCCACATTAATAATTTAATATTTAGGTGTATTATCCAGAAACATACTAAAATCCAGGGCCAAGGGACGTGGAGAAATTGAGAGTATGACTTTCTATATTTTTTAATGTTTTAAAGACTTTTCAAGACACGGTGATTGATAAAAAATGGCAACTAAATGTAGGTATATATTTGCTGACTAATATATGATAATTGGCCCAAATATCTTAAAACTAATATTATTGACAGTTTTATATATAGAGTGCAGAAAATTAGAATTTTATTTTGAAACTTGTCCACAATTTTTGAAGTTTTGTAGTATCATATTAAAAAATGTTAGTTTTATGTTTTTGGCATAACAAACAACTAATTTT